AATCGCTTAGAAACAGGAAGAGGAATCTTCTCTCAGAGATCAAGTTTTAACAAAGCACTGTTGCGATACTTTTTGTCTTAGTGAATGAGATTACTTCCGAGTGGAAACTATCCTTGAAGGTTTCCCTTTGGGTGACCGCACGACGCAAGCGGAACTCTCCATTCTCACAAGCTGTTGGTCGCAATAGACGATGACGAATCGCTACCTTTCAAGAGCTTTCTAACCCTGCGTCCAGTCTTTGCACAGAGACAAGTTTTAACCTCAAAATTAGCGCCTGTATGCGACATGATACACAATGTATAAGCTGAGTATGACAGTCAATACGAGACTAAACGTGACCTATCTCACTACGAACTCAGCGTGAATCCAATGGGCAATAAATTATTTCGTTAGACCCAGTGATTAATATTGCAACATACATTTCTACCTAGCCTTCTTCATTCCTTAACCAGTTAGAAACATAGGCAACTTAAAACTGAGGTACACTTACCATGAACATACTCTCCGTTTGGCACGAACTGCTCAAATAGGTCAAATGGATCTTGTTCACTCATCACTATTTGTAACGGCAGACTGGCTTAGTTTCAATGTCTTTAGTAACTAGTTTATACTGCAGGGGCAAGCGGCAACAGTCAAAGTTCCTTGCAATAACAACTTCAATATGTAATGTTTTATAAGGAAGACTGAACTGTATGAGGCGTTGGCTGACGCAGTGTTTTTTTCCCTTGCCTACGCAGAAACGAGGCTGTTGTTTGGCTTACCCATAATGCAGTTAATGCAACCTCGATATTGTAGTTGAAATACTCAGTTATTTTTCTTTCTGGCGAATACAGTATTGAATTTAAGGCCGGCGCCTACTTTTGTTAGTGCGCACACGTTCTGCGCATCACGCGAAGCATGGTTAAAGCGCCACGCGCGCGCTGGGTTGACTTTGACGCAATCAACTACGCTACAAAGTACACGACTAAGATGAAAGCAAAATTTTCCTACTGTGACCAAATCAAGTTTAACGAACCTGTACTTAAACCAGGAACACCAGAATAGCAGCATATCGCTAACCACTGACTGTTAACGTCTTCCATCGAAAAACCAGCTGTTATTTGTCGAAAATTWTTCTGAAATCCAACTGTAAGCACGTACCTACAGATGGAGTAGAACGCGCGCAAAACAAGTGCGAGATACGCAAATGTTTTACTTACTGGGGAGGTGACAGGAAAAAATGTAACGGGAACTGTAAAACTTTTCGAAAAAGTTCAATAACTTTGAAAAACGCGTGGTTACCCCTACATTTTATGTTATGAACTGGACGTGGCAAGCCTATTCAACACATGATTAGTTTCTGGTTGTGAGAAAAAGGTATTTAGATGTATTTAAGCTGAACCAGAGGAAGGCTGTCAGAGACGCCAAAAGCGCTGTTGCAACGGTTTTGGTATTAAAAATATACCAAAAATGGTTTTTATGTTTCCATTTACCATGAAGTTTTAAAATCTTTATAAATGTGCTTGCTTTTCTATATGTAAAGGTAAATTCTAAGGAAATCTGTGAAGAAATATCATTTCCTTCATTTTTTAGAAAAATGCTGATGTCAGCATTTTTTCTGAGATTTAAAGCTAATTATCTCGAAAAAATGCGTGGCTACCCTCATTTTTCTTTGTGGATTCCAATAGCCCTTGCAAAGATCTACTTTTTCCACATGGTCCTAACCTGGCGCAAAAACCTTTGTATTTAGTAGGCACCGTCCTTAAAGAGTACATTTGCAAATGCATAATCGCACCACGCAGCACTGGAAGTAAAGGATAGAAGTTTATCTATCAAGTCTACCAATTTACGTTCGAAAAAATGAAAACGGGCTTGAACTTTAGCCAAAGGAAACAAAAATCAGTTTTAACTCGCGGGTAGTGATAACTCAAAATAGCCCATTGCAAATGACTGACTGAAAAAAATCTAAGGGAAATGGGTTTGAGTTCCAAATGACGTAGCCTCCTAGGCAGACACTATTTGAGCTCGTCACGCAATCTTTCCTTCCAGATTGCCTGACGAGCTCATACTTGGGGACTGGTTCTAAATAAGTTACAAACCCTCACAATGCCCTAGTAGTGGTTAGGCCATTACGTTCCTGGTGGAACAAAGGGCGGTTACAATGCTGCGCCAGCGGACTCTGTTCGCGACTGTTGTTTTTGCCGTAGTCCAGGTGATGTTGGCTTCTTTGAGCTCCTCTTCCACCGACCTCCTCCAGGTTTTCACTGGGCTTCCTACCTTCCTTTTACCCTGCGGATTCCATTCTACGGCCTGTCTGGTTGTATCAGATGTTGGTTTCCGCAATGTGCGGCCAATTCAATTCCATTTGCGCCTGGCGATCTCTGCTGGAATACATTCTTGCTCTGTTCTTGCCCAAAGTTCCCTTTTGTTGATTTTCTCTTGCCAGTAAATCTTGAGGATCTTTCTCAGACATTGATTAGTGAAGGTTTGCAGCTTGTTTGATATGGATCTTGTGACTCCCCAGGTCTCGGAACCGTGTAGAAGAACTGACTTGACATTGGTGATGAATATTCGTAGCTTGGTTTTTATGGATATTGATCTTGTGTTCCACACTGGTCTTAGAGTATTAAAGACCTGCCTGGCTTTGCCTATCCTGCTTTTTACATCTTGGTCCGCTCCTCTGTCTGATGTGACGATACTCCCTAAATACGTAAAGCTGTGGACGTCCAACAGTTCCACATCTTTCAGCTTGATCTTCTCCTGGTGTTTGCTGTTAGCTCTCATGACTTTGGTCTTTTCTTTGCTGATCCTGAGGCCAGTTTTCTCTGCAACCAGTGCCAGACGGTTGGTCTTGGTTTGCATATGTTGCAGTTTCTGAGAAGAAGAAGACATATGTCATCTGCATAATCCAAGTCATGGAGTTGAGATGTAAGTGTCCATTGTATACCTGTTTTACCCTGACTCTCTACCTCTCTCATAATCCAGTCCACGACCATTATGAAGATCATTGGTGACAGCAAGCAGCCTTGACGCCCGGGGGCGGTACTCCCAGAAAAATTAGGTGGGGGTGTGCGGCCCACTTCCCAAAATCCTTACCCTATTTATGACCAAAATCTGCGATATTCCCTACCCTATTTATGACCTGACCAAAAATTCGTCACACTATTTATGACCTGACCCTTAAATCAAAACCCTGTTTCAGACCTGCGTTTTAATTGGTTCCCTAGTTCAGACCAATTTGTGAAGGGCTTTTGTTGATTTTCTTCTCGATAATGATGAAAAAGTGGCTTCTTCTTAAAAACATACCCATATCAAGGCTAGAGTGCAAAAACCATACCCTTTTTATGACCAAAATCAGCTAAAAGCGATACCCTATTTATGAACAAAACAGCTAAAAAACCATACCCTTTGGGGCCGCACATACCTATATAGCCCATATAAGGGAGTACCCCCCCCCCCGGGCCTTGACGGACTCCCGTGTTCATCTCAAATGGCTCTGACAATTTCCCGTTGTGAATGACTTGACTGGATGAGGCTTCATATAACTCCTGAATCAGCCTAATAAACTTTGGTGGAACTCCATAATGACCCCCTGAGTTGCCAGGTGACGTTTCCTGTTAACACTATCGAAAGCTTTTTCGAAGTCGATAAAGCAATTGCCCTGCTGGTCCAAAATGGTAAGAAATAGCGTCTCTCCCAAGGCACTTAAACATAACTATGCTTTAGTAGGATTTTACAAGACAGAGGAATTCACAATTATGTAAACCGAGTTGAGTGCAGACTTAAGAGAAAATTAAGTACGCAAGATGATTTTAGTACTTTACTTTCACCGTCCATTTTAATGCTGAACGATGCATTTATTTTGTCTACAATAATGTGATATATAATGATGCAATGTAAAGGGGGGAGTATAACGCCGTATTTTGAACGCCACTCCGTCCATAAACCCCGGCTTCCCCAGAGGAAGCAACGTCCAATGCAACTTGACTTGATTTCAAGAGCCAATGCAAATAACAAATGTAGGAACCTGCACAAAACTATTTTTAGGTTTGTCTCAGATGACCGTTAATCCAAAGTCAATATATGACAAGTCACTATCAAACAAATTAGCTATGCATCAACTAAGTTAATTAATAAAGGTAGATTATATTAATCGCCGTGGCCAGTTTGTGAAGTTGACGTTTCAAGCGACGTTTCAGAGCAAAGCGCTTCCGCTCGAAACGTCGGCTTCACAAACTCGCCACGGCGGTTAATTTACCTTTATTAACTTCTAGTTGATAAATATCTGAGTGTTTCAATTGGTCATCAACGAAGCCCCATCATCGAAGACCGATATTTTCGGGTGACAGTTTAAACTTTTGCCCGAAAATATCGCTCGCGCGAAAATATCGGGTCGTCCCGACTAGCTGCCCCTGGGTCTCCAAGGATGACGCAGCCTAATAGTTCTCGTAGAAACTAATACGTTCTAATACCTTTGTTCAGTACAAAACAAAGACCAATTCCTTCCTTGAAGTTTTCTATTTGGACGGATCGGCACAAATACACATAGCAAATGTGTGGTACTGCTCAAACGTAGCCGGCAACCCTCTGAAAGTAGGCACGTAACGGCCCGTTATAAGTGCCCGCCGGAAACGTTAGGGTAATCAAATAAAGTTACAGTAAATAATGTGCAAAAAACTGTAACAATCACATTATACTACGGGAATCTCGGGAGCACAGAAGAGAACAAATTTTCAGTAACGTATAAGCAGTAAGTAGTACGTTCCCTTGGGTCTGTCTTCGAAAGCATTGTGGGATTGTAGTGGTTCCCTTTATGACAACGGGTTTTGTCGCTCTGAACTCTAAATGGGAAAAACGGGCGTTGAGAGGGCTAACTGGCTGGAACTTTGTGTGCTGGACTCTAGGAAATTAACTTTACTCGGGAATTAGCTCAGAGCAACTCGTTTCCTGCGGGAGAGGAACTTGTCTCGGGTTCCAAGGTAACGTTGGATCTGCAAAGACTGGAAATAAGAACACTCGTAGAACTTGGACTTCACGGGTTTATTCTACTCTCTTCAACTTCAACGTAAATCGTATTACAACGATAAGAGTACTATATTTCTACTAACGAAAAACACGATTGCATCATGTTAGGAACAATATAAGGAGGGCTAAAAACCAGAGAGTAGCCTGAATAAACTTAGCTGCATTTGGAGAAAAGCCAGATCATAGACCTCATAAAATCAGCTGACAAATGACGATCTCAACAAAGCTAGTTTCTAATGTACATCTGCAGAATGTATTATGCCCAGCCAATAAAACTGTATAAAGTCAGTTGAGGTTTATTTCGCTGAGTCATTTCAGTTCGTTCAGCGACGAATACGTTCATTCTATTTAACGCGCGTACAAATTGTTATTTAACCAGGTGCATTATCTAAAGTTTGCTGAAAGTGCAATATTTAGTGCACTTCCGGTATTTGTACAGGTTTCCAAGCAAACGATGTCTTCTAAAACACCAAAAATATCACTTTTATATAATTGCACTCTACCGAAAATTAACCTTATTGCAGTGGCAAATCCAGACCTTGAGCTAACAAGGTGGGGGGGCGGTTTTGTTCTGCTTGCCCTGCCGGCTTTTCTTCCCTCTGTGATTTCTTCTTTTTTAGCCAAAATAAGGGGGGGGGGGNGGTCCGCCACTGTATTGAACCTATAATTTCCTCTAACACGTTTTCAGTGTTGGGAAACCCGCGAAGCGTTTCATTACTACGTCATACTCTTTACGCATGTAAGAAAAATAACTTCGATTTCCACGGGAACCACAAAAGATTACTTTTTTTGCATAAAAAAAGTATAAATAGCTGATGATCTTAAAATACATTATGGACGGTTATGTGCACACGAAAATCACTTAAAAAGGCCCACTATAAAGCGGAAAAGTGCTACGTTCGTTGCAAGCAACTTGATGAATCACCATTTTAGCTGAAGACGGTGGATCGCTATATTTACACGTTGATCTGATCCTGAGAAAATCGGGATCCTCAATCAGTTCATAATATCACTCAAACTCCTCTTCAGGCTTGCACTGCAAAAATTTACGCAAATAGGAATAATGTTTGACCGACTGATATCGTTTCCAGCCTTCGTGTGGCGACTCCTGGTAGTAATAAACAGCTGAACAGTTATAATTCACAGCAAAGATAATCGGCCCGCATACTTGCTTGTTGCTGGGAATGCCTTTGACGTGAGCAGACAGCTTGAGGTTGCCACCAAATGCACAACGGTCAACGTTTAAGTAATAGTGGTGCTTTCCAGGTACCTCTAAACGAAAACAAGCCAACAAAACACGTCAATTAAGATAAGCGCGTTCATTATATAATCGATAACTTTTTTTCATTGTGATTGGCAAAAGGCAAGCGTAATTTGAGAGAATTTTAAAATGTCATTTGTGGTGTAAATCCTAAATCATGAATTGAACTCGCATTCACTCGACTACCTAAACATTCTACCCAATACGCTCAAAGTCACGTGTTTTTTGTTACTTTACGCCTTTCAACTCCAATTTAAGGTCAACATATCAATTCTCCTTATCGATTGCTATACTTTTCTTTTAGTGTTTGGTTTTGAAAATTTGTTGGCACAGCAAGATAACAGTCGATAACTTTGTTTACACTCGATGAATCCACGACTAATCTAATACAAGGTAAGCGTAAATTTTGAATTAGTTTTATATTTTTTTCAATTAGGTTTCCTGTTTATATTTTCTTTCCTCTAGTTTTGAAATTGACTGATCACAAACGTCACATGCAAACAGACAGACAGACAGACAGACAGAAAGACATAAATCCTTTATATGAAAAGTTAACTTAACACTAGCAATGAAAACGACTGAAAAGAGGAACTAAAACCTCCATCAACATTTTAATCCTGGGTGAATGTAAAATCTGCTTTCAAACAATGTGTAGATAAAAATGAAATGGTCTTTGCTAACTTAGAAAATTTTAAACCATGCTAACTCTGGTAAGTTAGGTAATAGTTTGATATTTACTTCATTGGTCTGCATCAGCCAGTAAAAGAAGATGAAAGACATAAATCCTTTTACATGCTGGAAAAATGAGCAGGTTCTGTGGATAACGTTCCAGATAAAAAATGGCGTTACTCACTTGTAGAATTCACAGGCGGAACATCATCTAGATGCGACAATTTTTCTCTTAGTTCATCCAACGTAAATTCAACTCCTCTTGTCAAGCAACGCTGCAATGGAAATCAAACGATTCCAAATGTAAACAACAGTGATGATGGTGATGGTGCTGGTGGTGGTAGAGCAAAAGAGATCGCTCACTTTTCCTGAGTTTAATTGGAATATTTAATATCGTGAGCTACCATGAAGACTTTCTTTGTTATCAGCTCAACTATAGTTACCTGGTTCCACTAGTTATGCAAATATTTTAGGTTAATGTTTGCTGACGCGGGTGTTGAAAAGTTACGTAATTAGACTACGACTTTGCAACGAGAAGGCATCAGGTCTGGGTGCAAAAGTCGACTCCAGATGTTAAAAGAGATTGTGCAACTTAGTTATTGGCGAACTCTCTCTCTCTCTCTCTCTCTCTCTCTCTCTCTCTCTCTCTCTCTCT